CCGCGTCGCAGCTCCAAGTGGCGGCAGACTAATAGACCAGCACGTTTGGAAGACCTGCACAGCAAATCACAGGGATGGTTTTGTGGATGCTGGGACCCTGGTGACATCGATGCCCTCTATCGCCCTCTGACACATGCATATAAGCTGTCCTGACCACCTCGGTTTCCGTGGAAATTAGATCATGGCACTTTTCCAACAGTTGATTTTTAGCCGTGGGGCTAGCAATCCCCCAAAAAGCTTAAAATGGACTATATACCTGGCCGACTAGGTTATCTCATCCCACTCCTCAGTCAGGCAGTGCCTCCGCCAACTGGCATATTCTTGATCTTCTCAATGACCGCCTTCAGCAAGATGCCCGGATTCCCCTACTGGGGGGAAGTCCCGACATCCGTCAAAAGAAGGAAGGAACAATGCAAACATAACATGATGGCTGGGCCATACGCATAAGGCAAGCGCAGGAATTGATTCATGACCGGATTGCTGACCCTACTCCAATCTCAACGAGCAGCGACTTGGATCCCAGGGGCCCGTCCTACCCCGTCCGTTCGTCGAACCATTCAGTCCGGTCGAACAAAGGTCCTGGCTCTCCAAGGTGTTCGTCCAAGCTAGTGGTTGTCATGTTTGATCCGCCTGTTTGATCAGCAACTGCCAGGAATGGTTACTTGCTCTGGGCTTGCATCCTAATAAGTGGAAAGGAGCATCTATGATCAAAAAAGTCTGCGCAGAACGTTCTGCCTACTACCATCCCTGCAAAGAAAAAAAACACTTGGTGGATCTTGGGGGAGGGTAGCATCATGTATACAAAACATCGCAAAGTTCCTTGAGAAGCTCAGTTTCTTACCAAATTCTTTGTCTGTGCTGTTGTGTTTGTGTGCGTGCAACGACTGGCACAAGAGAATCTTTCTTCACCAATCCATATTCATTGGATGGCAACTGAATGCATTTGACCTGGGCATGCAGCACCAACCCAAAGACATCAAATTTGTGCTCCTTAGATTCTTTGCTATTATTCGATCTACTTTACTCCCGTAGTCACATCCGCATTCAGTCAAAGTGTGGCCTCTTGGACGACCGCTTTCCCCCTATACAGGAAACTGGCAGCCTGCCGCATCCGGGGGGAGACCGGCCATCCCCACGTGCCTTTTGGCGATTTGCTTGCCGCTCCTCTTCACGCTCGGTCCGCGTGACCTGTGGAGCTGGAATCGCCATTGGAAGCGGCTTCTGCCGAGGACAGGCGCTCCTTTGCCCAAGAAACATGACAAGGGAATCACTCAGGGCATGAAGATTTTGAGGGGAGGAGGAGAGACCACTGGGTAATTTATTGTTGATATTGATGGGGATCACGAAAAAAAACTTATATGGTCACCATAGTTTCTTAGGTTCTTAAGATTGTCTTGGGTAAGCATGATGAGTCACATGAGTCTACCAGTAGTGTTGGCTCTTCTTCCATTTCTCAAGCAGCTCACTTCCTGATCAACTTCCTTGATCTTCCTTGACAGGTTACCCTTGGGGTCTTCCCACACACACACACTCAAGACTATGTGTGCTGACTTGAAAGCGGTTGCCACACGCCAACCTGGGTTCCCAAATCCTGAAGAGGGCAACCAAACCTACGGAGCCTGGAGGTCTTCAAGAGGAATGGAAGTACGTGGGGCCAAAAGCTCAAGACCGAAAACGACGAGCAGGTCGAGATGACGTCGTACGCTCTTGTCTGCCGCATGCAGTAGCACTTGACGGAAACTTAAAAAGTTGATGCAGGTACGTCCAGCTGGGCAAGCTGGATACCCCACCAGATTGCATAGCATTGTTCGACACGGTCTGCAATCTGGCGCCGTGTCCCTGCTGTAAAGGGTAAAACTCCAAAAGGAGCCTTGTGACTCCAAAGGTTGGACACACACACACACACACCCGAAGGGAGGTATGTGTGGCCTCCATCCTGCCCGAAAGGAGGCACGCCCATCCTGCCCGGAAAGGGGGTTATGCGAAACACATGTGCACGCAAAGGAGACAGATGAAAATGAGAAAGACGAGACAGACAAAAAGTGTGTGTGGTTGCCGATGAAGAAAAACCAAGTGAAGACGGACAACCGATGAGCCGAACCTCATTGTAACAAACCTGGGCCACCTGAACCTCGTTGTAAGTAGAAAATGCGTGCGTGTATGTGTACAAGCTAAGGTCCGGACGAAAGTGCGCGCAAGAGAAGGAAGGGATGAGGATGAAGAAACATGAAGACAGAAAGACATAAAAGAAAAGAGGGAAGACGTCTGTGGGGGCCAGTGAAAGGGGAACCAAATGAAAGGGGACAAGGCGATGACAGACCAACCTCATTGAGAAACCTGTTGCAGAAGCCTTGTTTGTTTGCTTGTAGGCACGCCGCGCGCGAGGAAAGAGGCGGGGAAAGGGAGGAAGAAAAAAGAAGGAGAGAAAGGAGGAAACAAAGGTGCTCCCAGCTACGACACAGGAAGGGCTCCCAGCTATGACGAAAGCATCCTGGGACACCCAAGGAAGAAGGGGAGAGGGAGAAAAGAGGAAAGAAAAGGGCAGGTGTTCCCAGCTACGAACAAGCGTCCAGGGACACACCAGTGAGAGAGGGTGAGGGCACCCCGGGCTGGCATGAAGCCAGACACACTCAAGATTACGCGTGCTGACTTGAAAGCGGTTCCCAAATCCTGAAGAGGGCGACCAAACCTACGGAGCCTGGAGGTCTTCAAGAGGAATGGAAGTACGTAGGGCCAAAAGCTCAAGACCGAAAACGACGAGCAGGTCGAGATGACGTCGTACGCTCTTGTCTGCCGCATGCAGTAGCACTTGACGGAAACTTAAAAAGTTGATGCAGGCACGTCCAGCTGGCCAAGCTGGATATCCCACCAGATTGCATAGCTTTGTTAGACACGGTCTGCAATCTGGCGCCGTGTCCCCTGCTGTAAAGGGTAAAACTCCAAAAGGAGCCTTGTGACTCCAAAGGTTACACACACACACACACTTTGACATTGGTTTTCAGTTAGCTCAATTCCCAGGTCGAAAATGGTGAGGGAACGGCAAGGCGAAAAGGTCGGCGAGAACTGTATGGTTGAACAATGTTTGCAATCTGACACACAAGCGGTGGAAAAAAAAGGTTTGGGGGACGTATCATGAACCACCATGGAAACAACACAGAAGGATTGGAACAGCGTACTCAACCGTTGAAGCAGGTACAGGTGGATGATCAGTCCACCCCTCCCTCGTCATACCGTAGCTTCATTGCGTACGGTGGGTATGACGAGCCGCACGCCCCTGCTTTGAAAACATGGAAAGCCCTTAGGGACAGGGTTTGACACACACACACACACACACAGCGCCGCTTTGCGGCGCTCGTGCGAACGACCTGAATAGGTACCTAAAAAGCCTTAGAAACAAAAGAAAGAAACACAGAAAGAGCAGCGCTAAGAGGGCAAAAGAGAAAGGTAGGAGTAGAACAAAGTGAATACTTAGCCCTTGACTGGGGTAGGGAAACGAGCCTCAAGAGCAACCTAAAAAGCCTGAGAGAAAGCCCAACAAACAACGAAAAGCGCAAGAAGGAAAGTGGGGGGCAGGGAGGGGGTGTATGTCCATGTGTGTGTCTGAATACTTAGCACTCCAGAGTTACTGATTACTTAGCAGAAATGAATTAAGTGCAATAGTTAGGGAGCGGGACTTTAGTCTTAAACCGCCTGGGTAGAGAAGACTAGAAAAGGGACAACAGAGGGAAAGGCACCGACACATAAGTGTGCCGAGTACCATTTCCCTCTGTTACCCTAATTAGGTAGGGAGTAGAACTCGGCGGGGAGGGGGGGGGTTGGGAAACATGCCTGACCTCAAGTGGAGTTCCGTTTTTTAGCCCGGCGGCTGTGGTATCATGTCGTGCGAGCCCGACGGCTTTTGAGTCAGTTGATTCAGTTAAGAAAAGGTGGAAGACAAGGTGCAGTGGACGAAGTAAATCTGTTACACGATTTCCGGAGTGAATTCAGCGCCCCTGTCACGGGGATCACACCCAGCACCCAAGTGGGACGGCTGAGCGGTTCACACTTTGACATTGGTTTTCAGTTAGCTCAATTCCCAGGTCGAAAATGGTGAGGGAACGGCAAGGCGAAAAGGTCGGCGAGAACTGTATGGCTGAACAATGTTTGCAATCTGACACACAAGCGGTGGAAAAAAAGGTTTGGGGGACGTATCATGAACCACCATGGAACAAAACAGAAGGATTGGAACAGCGTACTCTACCGTTGAAGCAGGTACAGGTGGATGATCAGTCCACCCCTCCCTCGTCATACCGTAGCTTCATTGCGTACGGTGGGTATGACGAGCCGTACGCCCCTGCTTTGAAAACATGGAAAGCCTAGGGACAGGGTTTGACACACACACACACACACACACCGCCCCAGTTCAATGAAAACCAACAGGCAAACTTGAGGCCAGAGGGGGTGAACGAAAGCTAGCCGGGCTTCCGGTGGTCTGCTGCTGGTGCTGCTGCTGCTGGTGCTGCTGCTGCCGCTGCTGCGCTGGGCGCTGCTGCGCTGGGTGCTCTGCAGGCGCCGGGTCGTCTGCTGCTGCTGCTGCTGCTGGCGCTGGGTGGTCTGCTGCGGCTGCTGCTGCCGCGCCGTTGGGTATGCTGCTGCTGCTGCTGCCGCCGCTGGGTGGTCTGCTGCTGCTGCTGCTGGTGCTGCTGCTGCTGCCGCTGCTGCGCTGGGCGCTGCAGATGCTTGGTGTGCTGCAGCTGCTTGGTGGTCCCGCTCACCGCGCGCAGGGGGGAGTCGAACCGCGGGGGGGGGGGGCCCATAAGATTGATTTAATCAATTATTTGAGGTTTCTGAGGTGCGTCCACCCCGTCACTTAACTTGCTAAAGCAAGAGCAACTCCAGCTAGCTAAGGCTAGCTTTCGTGATCAAGTCCTCACTCAACCACAGGGACGCCATGAGTCAGGTTCCTGCAAAAAGCCAAGAATCAGGTTCAGCACAAGTGTTCACCACTGCGTTCATCTGATTCAACCTCTAAAATCACGTACCGGTCCTTGAAACTCCCCACAACTCACCACAAGTCCCCGACGCGCCCCCCTTTCGATGGCCTCCAAACGGGTCCAAAGCTCCTCGCGCTTGGCCGCCGCCTCATGCAGCGCCCGCAAGTTCTGCTCCCGCTGGAGCTCACGCTTCAAGCGGGCATCCTGAAGGGTGTGAAACTCGATGAGTCGAAGGAAGGTGTCGCAAATCTCAAGGGTTCATGGACGAACAGACCACTGGTGCAGGACATGTCGGACATATTTGCCTTCCGAAGAGCCAATGGTCAGGGTATGTCAGGGTTCATGGGTTGGCTTTCGCTAGATGTGAGTCTTTTTCTACTGAAAGCCGTCCATACAGTTTAAGGGTGGTTTCTTCAACCTATGAGTACAAGCTTTTCTTGCAACCAGTGTCAACAAATCCCAATCTTCCTCCAGCTTCTTCTTCTGGGCTTCGTCTTCTGCTCGCCACACTTTGATCCTGCGCAGGAAGAACTGCACGAATCACATCCTAACACACCCCAATTCTGTCACGAAGCATCTTCATGCATGTTTAACTGGACTCACTCCGGCGCAGTGCTAACGGTGTTCAACTGGACTCACTCTCAAGCAAAACCTGATCACTAGCTCACCTGCCCGCAGATCTGTTCTTGTTCTTCCAGCTTCCTCAGTTACCAGCCCTCAAGGTGTTCTGTCTTTGGCAGAAAACATAAAACGCAAAAGTACCAGTCACCAAAGAGCCTAGAACTACTCAGAAAAGTCAAGTTCTATGAGATCGTCGTTGTGAGAAAGGTTTTGGTGTCAAAGGATGATGTTGAAGGTACAAAGTCAACATATATATATATATATGTTGACTCACCAAAAGGATTTGAAGTAGGACACGCCTCACACGTAATTTGGACAGTGGACTCAGCCACCATGAACCAACATGTCCAGCATGTTTGCCAACATGTTTTGCAGAATAAAGTCCTTCTACCGAATTCTACTGTGGTTGTCTCTGCATACTTCTTTGTTGGAATAATCTACTTGGCATATCTTGGCATCACTCATCGCCATCGACCATCCAAAGCCCGGCCGACCGTCCTGTTCAGTTCCGCCAAGTTGGGGTTCTTCCCACTCAACTGTTGCATTTTGCCTCAGAAATCTTACGCAAACCTGCGTGTGGCGACTCCTCGACCCACATGAGATTCAGCCCAAGGCACCAAATGTGTGGAGTTGAAGGCACAAAAACCGAATCGCAGCTTGCGAAGCATACACCAAACTGTTGATGGCGACGCACCAAGTCATACAAAACCCCTTAGTATGTTTTTGCATGTTCTTTCTTTAAGCACTGTTCCGGCAACAACAGCAAATGAATCATTCATATCATTATCATATCTGATGGGAGCTCTATGTGAATCTCCCTATCACCTAGTGACACACAAGGCCAAGCTGGCAAAAAAGCTTTAAGGCTCTTCGGACACTCATGGACACACTTATGGTGCTCCTTATAGCTCCTGAGATGTTCAACTGGACAGCTCCGACATTCAGACCTATGCCGACCTCGCCGCTCTGTCCCCCACCGGGCTCCGGCACCTTTCTTCTCAGCTTCCTTGGTCTACGGGACGGCCACTGTGCAGTGCGAGGCCACGGTTGTTTGGCAAAGAATCTTGGACGTGGACAATAATATGGCGAGCTGGATGACCAAGAATTCCTGCTAGAAATCTACAAACAAACAAGTGAACCAGTGGCGCAATCCACTTCCATGTTTTTTCCTCAACATGTATTTGACTTCCCTCAGAGAGCAAGGACGATACTAGGAGCAAAGGGCATCGCTACGAACGGAGCGATCGGACGCTACGAACGAGGCTCCTGGCCTTACTACTAGGAACAAGAAGCTATTAGGAACAAAGGGCATTGCTACTAGGAGAAAGGACGCTACAACAAATAGCTTCTACCGAATAACATACTACAGGCTCCTGGCCTTACTAATTAGAATTCTTTCAAAATCGCAAGCTGAATCCTCGGTGGGACATCTTGGGACTTCGATCGAAGAACGGAGATGAGCGACGCGCACGGAGCGAGCGCCGCGGGGTTCCACTTCGTGTTCCTCGATCCAACCGCTTCCACTTCGTGAGCCTCTTGAACCAAGCCGCTGGTGCTATTGGAAGCGCATGAAAACCACACAAATCCTATGGTGGCCCAAATCAAACCAACCGCTTAATTGAACCAAACCACTATTCTTTACAGCTGGAATCGCACACACCCCCCCCCCCCCCCCCCCACCCCCCTACGCACAACGACACCCAACACACACACACACACACACGCCCACCCCCTAACACCGAGAACAACTCCAACCCCGAAAAGCCCAAAATCATATAAATCATATGAATCATAGGTGCCGGAATTCCAAATGTCATATTCAATGAAAGGGACTTCACATCAAAAAGCCTGAGGAGCACTTCTTCAACGACATCCACAGATTCGGATCATGCGAAAGAAGCATCCAAACTGATCCAGCAGCTCGGCTTCATTCACCCAAACCCTACCCACCCTACCCTCCTGCCCCCCACACAAAGAAGGAAACGACACCTGCCGTGTTGGCGAGCGTCTCTCTTGAGCTTCTCCTCCCGCTCGGCCTGACGCTTCCGGCGTTCCTCCGCCTCAAAGCCCTTGCGCTGCAGGTCCTGCGAAACTGCGGAGAACGGAGAACCGCAAGGCCAAGCCCCGCATGCCACCAGGTCGAAGAAGTGTTTTTGGATGTCTAATCATAAGTGTGACGTGTGACAATAAACATCATCGGATCAATAGATCTAATGGGAATTTAACCTATATTGTGTCTCTATAGAATTGTTTCTTGCTTCTAATATCTCTTGCGCAAGGTTGTTGGGAACTATAGTCAGGGGCTGGTAATCTATTGTTCGCCAGCAACCACCATAAATTAACAAATGCATCCAAATGCTGCATATTAGAAAAAGTGTGAGGATGAAATGTGCAAAGGGTTTTTGATGGACCTCAATCATAACCACCATTGTAGGGAAATTTGCCACACACACACACACCCCTATCGCTTCCATTATACTTCTACAACTGATCTGATGGAAGCAAGCAGATCACTGTCCAACGATGCCCCGCCTCAAAAACCTGAACACGTTTTCTGGGCAATTCCAATGTCTGGCTCTCCTCGGGGGCCGACGACATGTCTGGCTCTCCTCGTCTTGCGCTGTGGGGCTGCCAGTGGCCTCGTCAACATCGTCGCCCGAACTGAGTGGACTGAGTGCGTCTGGCATATTTACATTGAGGTGGTTGACCTAGGGTCAATGTATGTAGTGCTATGCCAGTCCCATACATGGAGTGGGCCCGGGATTGGTTCAATTGCTCGTCATTTTGAGTCAGGCACAAAAAAAGGGTACTTTTGATTGATTGTACACCAAAGCCTCATGGGTAACAAACAATGATAAGGAGGCCACCAAAACGATAAGAACCCAAGTGCCGCAGCCTTCTTGTGACGAGAAGCCACTTCTTTAATTTATAAACCTTGGATGGACAAATCATGATACTGACATGAATAACTCCGCTTCCCAATGGGTGTTTGTTTTTCCATCACTATGGAAAGAACTGCCTCACACTCCTACAGCGACCTAGACTCGAAGCATCTGGTCCATCCACCCAGCCATCGCCTCCAGTGTGTTGCCTTCCTCGCCCTCGCCCTCCTCGCGGATGCATTGCTATGGACTGCATGGACTCCATACTCTTTCCCAACTCTAGGGCCTTCCAAGTGATCACTTCTCCCCAGGGATCGACATCCTCCTTCACTGCCTTCAATGCCCTTCCGACTGGCCCAGGGTCCAAACCGGCGAGTTTAGTGGTATAAACATCACTTGGGATGTGCCTAAGGGAGACGTGCAAACGCCACACACTCCCAGGTTCCGTTCGTTTGTTGTTTGTTCCCCTCGTCCTTGGATTCTTTGAGCGTGGAAGTGACTAGTGCAGACTCTTGATCAATAAGTCCCCTCAAACGAACAGGATTTACAATCCAAGTCTTGTGGAGGTATTTTATTAATCTCTACCATCATAGTGTCAAAAGCAACACTCTGATAGCATGCTCTCGCTGTCCCTTTGGGTCATTTGGGGCATGTCTAAGACCCTCAAGTCCAGAAGAGAACTCCGGCAACTCCATGTCAACTGGACTCATGACGACTGGGCTTGACGCCCTGAGTCTCAGCCCCCAGAATCTCTGCACATCTTCCGCTGCACCAACCAATAGCTCTTTGCTTCAGGGTTTTCACCGTTTGGGCATCTGATCACGGGCTGCAGTTCTGTTGGACCACTCTCGGAACAAACGATGCCAGCAGAAAGGTTCCTTATCGTTGATGCTCACATCGCAAAAAAAAATACCAGCAAAAACATATTATTATGCACCACAACGTGATCCATCTTTACACATCACCCCTAAATGCAAAAAGCAAACCTACTCCCCTGTATAAACAGAGTGTTTTTCACCCAAACCAGGTTGCTTTTCTGTGATTTACAATGGGTTTGCAGTGGAAAAAGAACAAATAATATATGATTAATTCATATTGATTCCTAGATCCAACAACCAATGTCGACAAAAACCGATCGAGAAGAGGCACCTTCATGAAGCTGCGAGTGGCACCTCAGCCATGACCGTCAGCATTGGCAGTGGGGTGAGACGGGGCCTGTCTCAGGAAAAGGACGACCGACCCTTCATGTGTGGAAAGTGTCATCTACAGTCTACAGTATGGATGCTAACCCAGAAAGAAAGGCTATTTGCTTGTAGTAGGTTCAATAAACGTCCATCCTTCATATCAATTCATCTGTCAAACAGTTCAAGATTCACCATGTGGATTCCGCCGATGCTGGGGCCCGGGGAGATCCCACCAACACCCGGGTGTTGAACAATTTCGAGAACAGCTTCCCTTTACGATGTATCTATCCTTGCTTATTATGTGTTTAAGTGTCCCATGGGGGGGAACCCCAATTCTCGTCACAAACACTTCTGGCTCCTGTGCTGAAGTTGTGGCTTCTTAGAAGTTCTGACTCCACCAATTACTGTAGATGTTCTAAAGGGTCCGGGTATGGCTTCTTTTTAGCCCTACACCCGATCTGAAATAGCCCTTTAAGACTTTTTGGCCCTTTTAGCTGTTTAAGATAGTTTAGCCGAGTAGACCACTGAGTGCCTCGTGCTCTTCGAGTCTTGTCTGCCAATAGCACAACAATCACTTCCCAACTCAACCATAAAAAAATTGGTGAGATAAATTAGAAAAGTATAGAAAAGTGACGTTCACACTTGGCCTGGGTCTGCTGAGAATGCGCCCCCGTTGACCGCGCACAAGCTCCCTGGCCATCTTCAGGTAGCTTGCGGTCCCTGTCCGCTTGTGCGGCTGTGACTCGCTGCCAGGTGACGCATGCTGTCCATGAACTGGGACTCGCGGAATCGCCGTAGCCGCGCTTCCTCCCTCTCCTCGCCAGCATCCACTGGGGTCGATGGCCGGCGGTTTCTACCGGCTTGTGGAGAAAGACAAGAGGGGATGTCCATTTGATGTGGCAATGGATGTCCATGAGGTCCATAATGGTCCATGTGAGTCTGTTCTGCATTTTCTTCTCCGTTTGCATCCTTTCAATGGTGAAGATCCCACATGCTAGGGGCAGTCTGGGGAGGGGGGCTGACTGGCTGCGGATGTGAATCCAAATGTAATTCACATAATATTGCCATGTCCCACCGCCTGCCGAACAAGGAGAACAAACCTCAAGGCAGGTCCAGCCACCCCTTTTCACCGGTTCCAAACAGAACGGACCTCGGATTCGCCATCCTGTAAATCTTTCCATTGTGAGATGGGATGCTCAGAAGATGATGATGTTCTTCCTCCTGCTCAAAATTGATACGCTTTGTGCCTTCCCCCCCAGGTTCCTAACCATGTCACTAGGCCTGCCTGGCAGGCCACGTGGATAACCAGCTGACCAGACTTACACGAGGACTGGGGCCCAAAAGTGAAACATCTAAGAACCAAAAGAATCAATTGCAAAAAGTGTAAGGACCAAGGGACTAAGGGATTTTGGGGAGTCTTCTCTTAGGTCTAGTGACTTGTGTTTTAACTTATTGTATCATGGCCCAAGTCTCGCGAGATCGAAAATCACAGGAAGCCATGCACTGCATGGATTAGCGCCGAGCACGTTTGAGCAGCCTCTGAGGATGTTCTGGTGGATCCATCAGCTGCAAAGGATGTAAGGAGAGCACCCACCATCTAATCCCCTAAGGATGTTCTTGACTCTTGCATCGACTAGGGCCCAAGGCCCCAAGGGGACCGCCCACCGCACTCATCTGGGCCTGGATCTTCTGCTCCCGCCGCTCATTCCGCCGAGCTTGCTCCCGAGCTTGTTGCGCCCTGCGTGTGCAAGGCCATTGCGCTGTTTCCAAGGGCGCACCTCTACATTGATGTAGCACTGCACGGTAATTACTATTGAATTGCCGTGACATGTGCAACCCCCCAAGAGCTCCGGCAAGGGAAACATTGGCAGCACAAAACGCAATGGTGAAAGGGCAACCTTATTATTCCATGCCATATCGCATGCATGCATCTTGAGCTCTCATGCTTCCCAGAAATCACCACAGGTGTTGTGGCAAGAACTAGTGTAGTATCCCGCAAAAAGATCATTATCGTATACTGTTCTCCAAAACAGCACACTATTTCCAAGTGTTGAGTTGCCCCTGAATCACTTTCCTCTATGCCCATAGCGGCTCTGCAGTCAATATCAGTCAATGGATTGCAACAGTGCCGCCACTCTTTGGTTCAATGCGAACTGTCTCGAATCAACGATGCAGGTTTTTGGGGAGTCGAACTTTGGGAGACCGTTCGAGGTCGTTCGACAACGCTCTCCGCTAGGTGGTCCCACCTGTTGCTGGCGTCCACCTTCAATTCCAGCAGGTACTCCTGGGATGAGTCACAATTGATCTCATTGCATCTCTCTTTGCAGCATCCTAAAGCAAAAGGAACAAACAGAAGGATTGCAAACATGTTCTAAGCACTTCCCTGTTGCCAATGCAAAGTCGTTCACTCTTTTCACGGCGTCCAGCTGCTACAACACATACACAGCATACGCCATCATTGTTCAAATCTGCGAGCCGGACTCATGAGATGGGCAAGAATCTGGTTCCACATCCACCAAGAACATCCAATATTTTTTTTGTGAAATCTGCCGCTCGCTGAATAACAATAAGTTCACACATCAACAACAGTCTCCGGTGTAGCAAAACTCCCGAAGCCCGAAGCATCTTCTCGTCTCCTTCCGCATCTTCTCCCTCCGCTTGACAGTGGCCTCCTTCTCTTCCTCCGCATGCTTGCCTGAGGCACGGAGGTCCGAAGGACCGAGGTCACCAGCAAAGCGAAACGAACGTTTCGTATCGTTTCGTTTGGTTTTTCCTGACCGGGCGCCACAAACATCCCGCCGGGTGTGGAATCGCACGTGTAGTCGTGCAAATTTTGATTCAAAAGTGCAAACCCTCTCAGTACTTTTGCTTGTTCGATGATGTTTTTTGGGGGTCCCGGATCCTTTCATTTTTAAAGCCGAATCTGCCGAAACCCAAGCGCCAGCGCAAAATCCGTCGCCGTTTTTGTCCCGGGCTGTCCTCAACTTTCATGCGTCCTGTCTCAAGTAGACTTGCGCAGTTGTTTTGCACAAGTTAGTACACGTGGTGCTTTCCCAACGCCATTGCCATCCGCAAATCACACGACTAATCGATGACAATGTTATGAAGCCGATGACAATGCAATGAAACCGAAGATTACTTGTCGTGAAACCGATGACAATGTTCTCAGCATGACATCCACATCCTCATTCCATCACAACCCCCCCAACCCCCCAACCCCATTTTAATCACACGACTAATCGATGACAATGTTATGAAACCGATGACAATGCTGTGAAACCGAAGATTACTTGTCGTGAAAACGATGACAATGTTCTCATCCCACCCCAACCCAACCCCCCACCTTTCACGTAGCATCAACTTCAGATAGCAAGTGCAAACGAACGTCAATATGCTCCATCCCACCCCACCCCAACCCCCCCACCTTTCACGTAGCATCAACTTCAAAAATCGCAGTAGTCACACGTTCGGTTTTACACCCGTAGGCACAAACATGATGTGACGTCAAGCATCTTTTCTGCCCTGAGGCCCTGAGGTGCTTGGGAGAGGTAGGGCGCTTTAACCACCACAAAGCTTCAACATTAAACCAGTTTTGCATCCTCAAAGTCCCTTTCATATGCCAGAACCTCCCAGTTCGATGTCAGGGAACCCCAAAAACCGGCACTTATTACGCGCCTACTATTGCGACGTCCCATGTTCGCTCCTTTCAAAAGCCACCGGACTGACCTGCGAGCGGCTTCACTCGTCCAAGCAGCGAATGGCGCTAATCTGCTTCAACTCGTCCATTGCGCGCCGGCGCTCGCGCTCCACGTTCTTCGTCTCCCGGATCTCCTCGAGACGAACGCCGCCGGTGTCGCCGGTGTCGCTGGGCGGAACGGTGCCGGTCGGTTCCGGCGAAGTGCAGGATGCTTTGGGCCACTGCGCAGCGCAACGCCGGAGGGGAAATGATAAATGGACATGCAAGATTCAAGTCCCTTGATGGTTTGTTCAGGACGCTCGGTTGGGTGTGAGCCACATGCTGTAGTTTAATGGATCACATGGTTTTATCGTATTGGTTTCATCGACCTATCTTGCTTCCAATCCCACATGATTGATAGCTTAGAAGCTTCAATGCAATGCTGGCTGCTATTAACACCAAACATGCATTAAATCATACACCCTACTAAGGTAAGAGCCTACTCAGTTACTCCCCTCTATGCTACACTGCTCCTGATCCTTCTCCCACCATCTGTCTCTTCTCAGTGCATCGAGATACCGCGCCTCCAGGCGCTGGAACTCGCGTTCTTTCTCCTCCCGCGCCAGGCGTTCTTGGGCCTTGGTCTTCCAAACCTGGACGGTTCGAAACGCGGACCCTTCGCAGACATTCAGCGAGGTGAAGAATTAAATTTTAGATGTTTAAACAAGTTTGTTGTTTGAAAACCATGCATGGAGGTATCTTTACTTAAAATTTATGTCCGGACTGGATTATGCAAAAATATGCAAATATCTGTAGCCCGTGTCCATTCTGTGTCCATCACCAGATTTTGAGATACACAAGTTCCTCTCGCCTCCTGGATGATCAAGTCCTTCTGTTCTCGAAGCCTCGCCTGTGGGGCAAGAAAGGATAGGTCCTGATGAACTTCTATGGTTGCTGGTAGAAACAATGCCCGGTGAAGTGGTGCACATATCACATATTATGCTTTCAACACTCTTGAGTGCCAAGCTTGATGCACGATTTCAGAACTTTCTGCAACCGGTGTCGTGCCCATTCTCACTCACTGTGATTACACCAAAACGGGGTGCGGAATCCCGGTCAGTGGCTGAATTCTCTAGATTCTGGATCTGGACTTTTTGGTCCGTGCGGCAGGAATAATTGCCAAAAGCGCTGTTTACAGGCTGCCTGATACTCCCGCTCTTTCATCTTCTCCTCCCGCAGGATTTCCGCAATCTGGCCTCGGCACCCCGTACGTGAATGAAGGCAATCCTCAATGTCTCCAATTTGCTGAACCGGCCACTGGCAGTCGGCCTGTTTTGGTAGAGAATAATCTTGCAATCCTCCACACCACCAAACAATTGTGTCTGGAACAACTAGCCACAATGTCCCTAAGCTGCAATACATTCGCGCATGTGTTGCTTGGGCATTGGCTCAACAAGTGTGCCTTCGGCATGGCAGCCGACTCACTCATTGGACCACACTCCTCACAGCCAAGGGGCGGTTCTTCTTCAAGAACAGTGCCCGCCGCTTCTCCACCTGGAAGCGACGGAACCCGTCACGACGGAAAAAACGGGGAACCAACACAGCGAAATACTGTAGTGACCGATGCCCAGCTCATAGGGATGTCGGCTTTCTTCATGCTGATCTTTTTCGACTCACAACAAGTTTCTATACAATCACATCCCCCCCCATGCCCGCTCAAAAAGAAAACGGGTGACGCTTGGAAAACAACGAACACGTGCTCGGTAGCTGTGAAAAAATACTAAAGGCAACACCAATCATGGACGAACATGGACTCGCCAAAAGTAAGGCTGAGCTTGTGGCTTGAAGGAGTCCATTTCATGGTGTCCATGTGACCATCTAGATCTGGTTGGAAGGGGTCACAAAAACGCCCCCTTGATCAACACCTAAATCCTCCAACGTCATTCCCAACCAGGATGCTCAGTGTGTGATGCCTAGGTTTCCTGTGTGGCATCAGGCGTGGATGTTCCCAAGACCGTCCCATCTGCCTGTTCATCCCGCTTCCGAGCCAACCTGAGAGAATGGATTTACGGATAATGGCCAAAGCACGCGGATTGTTCAACTAACCCCCCCGGAATCCCAGCATCCTAAAGAACCAGCATTCCTGGGTCCATGTCTATGCTTGATGGGACACCTTGGCAGGTCCTTGATGAAGCTTCTTCTCCGCATGCTTTAGCTGAGAATTGGCATCTGCAGGGTTCCCTCAACAAACACATATCGACCCACAGTAGACTTCCAACAGGGAGGGCTTGTTGTCTACCTTCTTCGCCGGCGGTTGGATCGATGGCCCACCACAGCATGGGCAACGATCATCCATCTGGGGACATCCATCTGGGGATCATCCATCTGGGGACATCCAAAATGACACCGGCACCAAACCTGAGCCCTGTAGATTTCCTTCATCTGGTGGAAAGGATCGCCCAAACCCATGCCGAACCCCTGTCAATTCCTGTGTGACACAACCATGACAAAGCCACCATGACAAACGAAGGGTGGAAAAAATGATCTGAGTCATACGAGTCATATGACTGTCTAACATATCTCAACCAAAAAACGGGCGAGCCCCACCAAATTTGTAGACTCAAAACAGCGAGCCTCCATGAAGTCCTCTTGGGAATCATAGAGGGGTCAGTGCCAGGTACGATATACCCATATTGGTTCCACACGTTTTAGATATCCCCTTCTAAATGAACCAGCCAAGGCGTAGGTCAGGCACCATATAGTAATATCGGTTGGTTGTAAACTTAGGGATATTCGGTCTAATCATGAACCTACCAACACACACACACACACAGACACACACACACACACAAACACTGACTGGTGCAGCTACAAACGAACACAGGGTACCATAGGGTACCACAGGGTCCATGTCTTCAGGGTACATCATAGATCACCTATCAGGGTCCATTTTCGGTGCGGCAGCCGCCTCGCTCCGTGCGCCGTGCGGCTGTTGTGCTCGCTCCTCCTCGATGGCTCGCACCTCAGCGGCGGAGCGCTCTTGCATCTTCCGCCGCTGCCGGGCCGCGTCCTTCCTCGGTCGAGTCGGTGGAAGAGGGCCGCCCTCCCAACGCGTCCAAAAAGCTGGGACGGACGTGACATGTCTCTGGTTGGTCTGACTTTAACACAATACGTTTGACAGCAAGAAACACTTGACATAGAAGCTTGAGCGGATCTCTATTGCAAAGCATAGAGCTGTGCCACATTGCCATGTCATCCAAAAAGTTTACTGATTGCTTATAGAGGTAGGGACTAGCGGCTAGCGCGGCGTGCCATGTATACCTGCACCTTACATCACCTTACAATAAACTAGTTACTATACTAGTAACTATATAGGCGCGGAGTAAAGTGGAAAGAGAGAGCTCTATGATGTTCTATGGCTTTTCGGGCGGCGACAAAAAGGAGAAAACCAAAAAAAAACAAAAAGATGTGGTGGCGAAGCCGCAGCTCAACAGCACCAAGTTTAGAGGCTTCCCAGTTGGTAAACCCATTGAAACCGAAGAAACCAACCGAGCCCCCCACCTCGCGCAGTGAATCAGGTATACCAGCAGGGGCTACTTTAGGTATGTTTCGGGAAGCGAGGCGCGCCTGGCCCCCATGGATGATTTCACGCATGTGTATTTTTTATTTGAACATGCATGGGCCATGGGCGGCTCGACGTCGACACGTTTTCGACCTGTCGTCCTTCCCAGACAGCCCGGATGTTCCGAGAGTCTCTCGGCCCATGCCTCGATCTTGGGCATCCTTCTCTTGGATCAATCGACGGATTGCCTGGGCCTCTTTTTGCTTCATCAGCACCTGACTCAGCAGTCGTGTCCGTTTTCCGCACTCCGACGCGTCGAAGGGAGGCTTCCGAAGGATCTGGCGGTTCGGATGCACAACTCATGGTTGCGACCAAATCCAAGTAAAACCAAGGAGGTGCCCAACAGACCCCAAAAAGATGCGCATTTTGACCCTCGTGTCATGCCAAACTCCACTCCAGTGAGTCATGCAGCTGCTAAACCATGGTCAATCCCAGTTCCGAATCACGACCAATGGCGTCTTTCGGGCCATCACTGTGGAACCTTCCAGAATCGATTCTCTCATCGGTCATCCTTGGGAGGACCCCCCCATCGACTGCTCTCGCACCAATGACGCCCAACTGAGGGGTGGCCATGTTTTTCACCCAAAATGGTTACACCATGGTCCGTGGTGACCATGTCGTGACATACAGTATGCATCCAAGCTGAGCAAAGGCGCTTCCAGCTGTGCCATGGTGCTTTTCTTAGCTTCCTCGGAGGCTTTGTGCGCTTCTGCCCGCGCGTGCTGCTGCTTCTTGATGAGCTCGAGCCTGGGGACCAGCACGGGGTGGCAAGGGCACCAACATAGTCTAAAATCTATGCCAAACATGGGGATCAGCATTCAAGTCATATGTCATAAGTTGGTTGTTCTATACGTGAGTTTCAGTCTTTGTCTTGCTTGCGTAGGCTTGCAGGCGGAACTGGGTCCTGCGTATTTGGCAAGCCGTGGGCGACACAGGGTTAGATAGAGTGGCCACCCTCAGAAACAAACTGGAGAGGTAATCACACAGGCATGCAAATGGTTCTGAGACGGCATTTGTGGGCTCTTGTGGCACAGGCAGTTTCGATCGAAGATTTGTTGATGGTCTCGTCGAAGTTCAGTCACATGGACTGTCATGGACTCCTGAAGTTCCACAAGTCGCATTGATGTTCGTTCGCACCCCACTTGACCATCTGTTGAGGTCTCCAACTTCTTCGACCCTCCCCCAACTGGGAGGACCTGGGTCTGGCTGTCTCTGGCCGAGGCACTTGGCTAGGCGCGCTTCTCGGTCCTCATCTGCCTTCTGTAGCCGTTGGGATGCCTGGAAAGCAGTGCAAACAGTGCATCTCGGCTGGGAAGGGATCCTAGGCACCCTGGAACGCAAAGTTCCTGGATGCCTTTTTGCCTCTGAAGAGGGCTCTGGCTAAGCTTCCATGAGTGTTTGGCATTGTGCATGTATAAAGATATAACTTATAACTTATAACATTAAATATGTATATATAGCATATATAGAAGTGCAATGGTGTGTCTTGATTATATATGATTACATGATTACTACATGTGTCATTGAAATAACTTGACCGGTTGCATTACCCATTCACAGGTGCCATTAGTTGCTGCGGGACCCAGGGATCATGTTTGTTGGTGTTACGTTGCCTTCAATGGCCTTCGGCTTGGATCCTCCGAGCATCCGACAGACCGAAGAGCCAGCGGTCAGAATTGACAAAAAAAAAACACACACGCAATCACATACATGGACCAAACAACATCCAATCACCAAGCACTCACTCAACAACGGCAAGATTCAATGTTACACCAACTGCAAAGGGAAAAACAAGAAAGATTTTGGACGTCAACATTGAACAACGAGGTCCCTCGGTCACATATGATACACACCTCAAGCAGTATTGGATCTTCAACTCTGGTCCCCTTCTCTCCCCCGAGCTCTGCTCCTTGAGCTGCTCCAGGTTCCGCTTGGCGTGGAGCTCTGCAATGAAGCGCTTCCGGGCGCCCTCACTTTTCACCTGGAGCGATCTGGGCGCTGTGACGAGTACGCGGGTTGGATGCCACACATGTCACATCGTATGAAACTTTGTGACATGTTCTTGCCGGCTTTTATGTCTTGGTTGACACATCTAGGGCCTAAGGGGGTTGCTAGGGAGTAGGCATATATGTAGACACTCTCAACTGATTAATACTAAGTTTCTGCTCCCTAGACTCATGCATCCTTGCATTGACCTCGATCTTGACATCTATCACTTATCACATCTATCAAAAATACCTTGTCTCGACCCCTCTGCTCTGAAGTCATCGCAAGATCTAGAATCTAGATCAAAGGAACTGACATGTTGAACCCAGCTGATCTCGTCTTGGAATTGGTTTCTGTTAATCCCAACATAAGTGGTCACTCTTGTCCAGTCCAACATAAGTGGTCATTCTGACACCTTGTGCATTGGCTGCACCAATCATTCTGAAACGTTTTCGTCACCTAACATCACAGGGCCCAATCTTGGCTCCGATCTCGTCGCTTTTGGCTCCTAACACTCGAAAACATCTCCTAGCACCTGGTAGCTCCAAAACAGGGTGCCCCAACTACAACCATCGAACCCATGTTAAAAAAAGACCAGCAAAACCCATCCGTCGCCACTCCGTCCGGGGGTCTGCCAAGGCGCCAAGGCCGCATGCAACTTGGCGTCGTCGTGCGTGTCCAGCTCTTTGAGCAGCTTGGCACGGGTGGCGCCATCAATCTTGCCTGCGCACAGGAGGCGAGGCCGGGCCGAGGCGCCACCGTTAGCTCCGGGAAAGGGTGGAACTTGGGGAATCCGATGATCAAGACATGCGGAATTCCGGACATTTTATTGCGATCATCGCCAGGGCCACAAGAGAAAGTCAGGGCGGGGAAGTGACAACCAAGTGTGATTTCGTCATATTTCGTCCATGCCCTACTAACGAACGAGCTGTTTGGTCAACACTCTTGCGACAGGGGTGTTTTGCGCCTCCAACGTTGGCTGGCACAGCGGATGTCGCTTTCCTAAGTGTAGTGTAGCAAGGAGTCCTGTGTTCCATACCAGGACCTTCCAACAGGTGGGGTCCACAAGGTATTTCCGTTTTCATGATAAACCCCGATTGAGCAAGCCTCCGCAGTCCAACATGTCTTAGAGAAAGCCATGTAATGTAAAGTCACTGAACACTGCGTGCAAACATATACAAACCTGAGCCTGATCGAACCAACCAGCTTGGATGAGCTCTGCTAGGGGATTAGTTGATGAGATTGCCCACAAACAAAACAACATGACCGCCTAGGGCGCCGAATGTTCTTGGCTACTGTAGCGGCTACTATGCAAGCAATCCTCGCCATGCGCCATTCAACAGCAGCCTTGGGCTATTTGGCCCATTCCATCTACCTAAGCCTGCTGTTCGTTGTTTCAACAGCTTGGAGGACATGAACCATACACCGTGCAATTGAACGTAAACGTATACATTTGACCCCTCTTTGGTGGATGCCTTCTTCTTGAGACGCCTAAGTGAGCGTCATGACTCAGTTAACTGTGCTGACAAAAGAAGGCGACCGGGAATCTGAACGTGACCTGGAACGGTTCTAGTTTGGGTTTGGGTTCGAGTTCAGAAGCAAACATGTCATGCACTTAGTCTCAACACCTTGCAAGTAACTGTTCAGAATACATAGTTCCAAATCCCGTTGCTGGCATTTTGGCCGTGGACCCTTAATTACATGGGCTGACTTCGATCAAGTACACCTATTACTAATTCAATATATATATATATATACTTTGTTTTTTCAATATACCACGACAAATGTATAAGTTCAATGTAAAACGCAAAAAACAAACTTATTCCCCAAATGCTACAAATACTGCAGGGAAACCAACCGTTCACTTCCAAACACCTGTCAGGAGGTGCACACTGCAAAGCCACCTGTACACGCACCAGCTCGAAAGCGTGCGAAGCTCCAAGGGCTCCAAACTATGTGCAGCTTAGAACAGGACTTGCCAGAAAGGCTGCCAAACATGCGCTCTGAAGTTATGTTATGATGGTTTGCTTTTATGAGCCATGGTTTCGCACCCAGCATTTCAGCGGTACTCCTTCCACTGGTAGGACTTCCGATCCACATCAAAAAACGGTCCAAAGACACGGATTCTCGCCGGGTCTCGGCTTCTCCTGCACCAAATCCCCTTCATCATCCACCTCTGCCGTCGCCTGACAAAACGGGCGGCACTGAGGAGGTTGTGTGAGCAAAGTGGACCTAGGGACAAACAAGGCCCTCAAGAAGAAGCAAACTTGTTTTGTTAACCAGGTGCCTTCTTCTTGAGACGCCTTCAGCAAACCACTTGGCACTTGTTTTGTTAACCTGAAATCATTTTGAGACAGTGAATGTGAGAACAGCACCAACCCTTCTGCCTTGAAACACATGTAAAAACGTTACAAAAACCACATGCCACCCCAAGCCCCAAGCCCTAAGCCCTACCCTGCGGAAGCCACCCGTTTCCAGAACCACATGCAACTTCAAGGCTCCCTTTTTCAAGGCTCCCTTTTCCATGCCTCCCGTAATCACCGTGATTTCGAGGCCCGTCAGGCGCCTCTTCGCCCAGGCAGAGGACTTTCTGCCCCCGCTTATCTTGGACGAAGTCCAGGTGTTCGATGACCCAATGGAAACCTGGGACGTTCGTGGCGACATTAGCGAACTTGCTGTCAGTCCGCAAGCCAAGCAATAATTACCGGATCTACGTAGTATGCTGATAGAAGGAGATGATAGAAGGTTTTCTATGTTATATAACTATTATTTTGATGATCAATTTTAAAAGAATCATTGGAACCTGTGGCTTCTGGGTCGTTCTGTGCCTGTTTTACTATATACCTCATGTCTCCGACATCTGATATAGCGCACTATGAGACAAACAAATAGTCTCACAGTGCCTCCGGGCGCGCCCAGGTCATCGGCTTTTGCTGGTCTCTCCAACCTTCTCAGCATCAACTGGTGGACCACTGCGCCATTGAAATCATAATGATGTCCGTCGTTGGAACTGAGCGTCAGGTTTCCGACCGTGAAGTGTTTTTGGTTTCCGCCGCTGCTTGAAACATGGGGACGCTGAATCAAATGCAATGTCCACATGGGTAGCCCATGGGACATGAGTTGTTCGAAAGAACTCCCATTTCAACGAGGGGACCTGTAGCGCAAATCCACACACCCTGGCAATCCAAGCATCCCGTCACTCGCTAATCGCCAAGCCACGGCCATCTTGATTGGATGGATTCATCAACTCGGAATCATACCTGGAGCCGAGAAAATTGGAACGAAGTCGAGGCTGCTGGGCTCCCTTCCACAGCTCCTGGAGCCTTCCCGGGATCTTGTTTCTTCTTGGGACACTTTATTGTGCACTTCGGAATCTGGATGAAGGACCTTTGGTCTCGGCTGGGGCTGTACCAACACTGAGAAAAGGGCATTTCAGTAGCTAACTAATTTTCGAAGCACTCAGGGGCCTCTTTGCACACTGCAACTTGAAGCGACATCAGCAGTGGAAGTCACCAAAGCACACCACAGCGGGCTTCATTGTGATCCTGTATAGGCTTGAAACCAAAAAACGCCTCAAAAGCATGAAATGTATTCCGCCAATATATACGTAATGTATGTTCCGGATTGTTCCGGAGCTTCACACTGTTCCACCCGCACTGGCCCAAAACCATCCTCGATCACCAATCATCTGCGAGCCGCTGGAAGAGGGCATCAAACTGGCTGTAGGTCAGTGGGTAGGTGTACGTGCAGTCGTTCTCAAGCTCGTAGGCTGAGAACCTCAACGTGAATCAAGCCGGCCAAGGGACCCATATAAAGGCCTCTTTTTTTGCGTCCATCGAATGATGCGGCCCAGTCACTGGGCTTTGTTTGGATCAACGCCCCTCCGTTTCAAGAACACCATGTCTATCCAGTGGAGACTGATGCCGTGTCAGTTGGTTTTAAGACAAATGGCGGTGGATAAGTGGATAGTGTTGTTTAAAGCCTGCAAGTCATGTGGGGCCCCCAAACCTGAGTCAGGTTCCGTCGGTTCATAGGCGACCTCACTATTGAGATGTCTGTTCTGTCGGTCGATGCTCGAATCAACCAAAAGCTGGGGTCAAACACACATCCCTTATGCATGTTGCCCGGGGCCCGGTGTGAACTCCACCAATGATCGAAGTAACGACTGACGGCTCAACCACTTGGATTTCTCAAAGCAACCAAGCAAACTTAAACAGTCTTGAGAATTGAATCCTGGCTCCTGGGCCGCAGCCCCAGGATTTTGGGGCCGATGTGCATATATACCCGCAAATTAAAATTGTAGATCCAAACATCCAGAAGTGGGTCATTGACCTCTTCCGCTAGGCATTGTCGTGAAGCTCTTGGACTTTTGATTGTTGTGGTGACACACTCCGACTCACTAACATGGAAGTAAACAATGACCATGCAATGGGGATACTGTATATACACCTCATGTTCATCTATCAACAGGTGGTGTTCCACTTCCATGCTGCGTTAGTCTGTGTCAAAGGGTTTCCTTGGGCCTACCCATCAAGGACCCCCAACCCCTCCATCTCCAACCTTCCACGCTCGCACTCTCGCTGAGAGGCGAGATAGTACAGGTCGCCGGATCGTCATATACGGCGACCTTGGGACCCAAAACTGTTTTAAAGATTCTTCCCAAACCATTCTGACCCCAGGTCCTCAGTGGTTTGAGGTCGCTTCTCACAAAAAATCCGTCGAGAACGACTCGAACTAGGAGGGCCGGGTGCATCCGTCAGGGCTCGGCCACTGTTTTCACTAGTGGGGTCGAGTGGGACATGTTAAAACTCCCAATGTTATCCCATAGTAAATGTAAAAATGTTTTTCTAGTTAGGGGAGCTCTGCCGAAGGTTCTTGTTTGCTGCAAAAGTGGCAATTCTTTTTTGGGGTAGGAAGGGCAACAGGCTGATGCTGACCGGGATGTTGACTACTGCAAACAATTCATGGAACCTGCCTGAGGCAAGAATAACAAAAAACATCACAATACAGATCAAAACAGGCTGTATTTCTCTTACCCTTGGTCCAAGCTACCTTGTCGTGCCATGGTCGAACATTCATGTATCCATTGACGCGTAGATGCATGAGCAGGTAGATAGGTGGATATGATTCGATACAGTAAGTCTTAGTAAGTGAAATAACAAACATATAATATAATCACATACATAGGCAGTGGAGAGGTAGGCTGATCAACATGGGCAGTTCTAATGGCGGCAGGATGACTGAAAGGTGTACAGTGACAAGTGATCGACAAAGGTCGATAGAGAAGTTGCACGGCAAACTCCATTGTCCAATCCATTCTGGGACCAATGGTCGCCAAGGGCCTTAGGGATTTCATTGATTTGCTATGATTGGGTTCATGCAATTCCTGCGCGCCAATTCAGAGGCAGTCGAGTACGGGCCTCCCCGTCGTCTCTGAACATCTCCGGACGCTGGCTCACACACACACACACACACCCACAAGGCAGGGCACATTATGATCTCTTGCGCACCGTTTCAGTCAAACAACGACCTACTGATTACCTCTTCACGGGTTAACCCTTTGACACAATCCACAAACAAATCATTCGATCACCACCTGGACTTGAATTGAAGAATCAATCACCACCAAAACCATCCTGCCTCACTTGGCTCAGCACAAGACCGGAATGACAGGCTCGTGCTTCAAATGGATGCACCTCGACTTTCCAAAGGAATCTGAGGCCGCAACAATGTAGTAGTCTCCCTCGATGCACTTCCCCTCCTGGAAGATCAAGGATCCTGGCCCGTGAGTACGGTGGATTCTGTCTGTCTTCCACCTCGGTGTTCCAATGATCCAAGGTTTACATCATGTCATGGAATCGCCCAAAGTTCCAGTACAGGAGATTCGTGAGACCATCAGTGAGTGGATGATCACCCCACCCTCCACCAACGACGTATCCCACCACGTTTCCTTCTCTCAACTTGCCTCACCGTGGGGTTTTGCATCAAAGCATTGTGTCAATGGATCATTAAATCATTTGGTTGGCTGTCGTGCCATGCTCTTAGAGCGCCCATCATTTTGGTGGTCAGACGTGTCGGGTGACCTGGGAAGAGTGAACTTGCCAGAAGGAGACTTCCCAGACGAACAAAAACACCCCCCCCTTGAGGATCAGGCATCTGGTCATTGTACCTCACATACATCAATCAACCAAGTGAGATGATCTGTCCAAGGAATACATCCTGAACCCTCTCTTTCCAACCCCGGAGGGGTGGACACCTCGTGTATCATCTGGCCGGCGTGCCATGCTCTTAGAGCGCCCGTCGTCCGTTTGAATTCAGCTTCGAGCCAGTGCGGCTAATGGGGCGGAGGGAGACACTTTCGCACGAGGCGGCTTGTATACTTCCGCGGTAACATACACGTATAATACACGACTCACTGACATGGAAATGGATGGCGGGGTCCCTTGCTAGACTACTGCCCTTTACGAACAGGGGGTTTGACACTCAGTCCCGTGTCAGTGAGTCAGTGTAAATAATATTTGTTTAATGTATGTTTCATTCAGTAACAAAGGGAGAGGCGGAGAGGCTGAGAAAGGAGATGCACTACGTGCTCCGCAGGATTGCTTTCGTCCGCTCGACTCTTTCGTCCATATTGTGAAACATTCGCACCTAGGATGTGTGAGCATAACCTGCATCGAAGAACATGATCATACATGGCTTTCCCAACTTCCCAACACCCACCGATACAAGTTTCTGGTGTCCATTCTTTCAGCGGCTGGGTGTTCAAAAGGATGACATACCCACCATACCCTAAGGTCATCCAACAACATCCAACAATTCCAGTACTATTGTCTCACAAGTCTTGAATAAGTACTATTCTTATCCAGTACTCCACTTGACTCACCTTACCTTCTGGATGTTGTATCCTCGACTCGCAGCTTCACGAAGGTCGCAGCCTTTCGAAGTGACTGCCAGGACTGCCAGCCTGGAGCGACACGGTCAAAGGCTGGTCAAGTCCTTACTCTATTCATCTCTATTCCACTTGTCACAGGGAAATCGCTTCTCTGGGGGCATGCTTCACTTGGCCAGAGCGGTTCTGTTGGACCCGGACATTGAGATGTTCAAAGTTGCCAAGCTGCTAGGCTGCTAAACATGAAGCTTGGTGACATCTCAAGGCAAGCATGCAGCTGATGATCTTCATGAAGTCTAGCCGCACTTGATCTCCGTGCAATCCTCCAAAAATCGAGCAACCAAAAAAAGCTCCTTTTCTATGCTTTTGCAGCCCAGCAAGATCCAATCACCCCCAAACACACACAAAAGAACATGGTCTGCAGCTGCATCCTACGGCTGTGTGATCCAGGGCACTGTTTTCCCCACCCTCAAAATGGCTGCAGCCTTTCGAACATGCCATGTGCATTCTCCCATTTATATGACGTCTGCATACGTTGTCCACGATATCTCACGTCTTCATGCCAGGTCACGACACGGAGGCTGGGTCACATGTCGAGCGCTCGAGCCAGCTTTGGCTGCGGGCGGCTGTGAGCGGCTCGGCCACAACATCAGTTGTTCCCGGCTCGAGCAGTTCAGTGTCGATTTCACCATTTTTTCGGCACGGTTTCACTGCCCCAAATGCGGTTCAAGGATGCGGCCATTCTGATTGCGGCCACAAAGTTCCAAAGTTCAGAGCCTCTGGTGGAGGGGATCGAATCTTCAAGCCAGTAAGGCAACAAAATCCAAATAATCCTGTCCACCTATTAAAAAACACGGGGTCCCCCCCCCTATAAGGAAACCTCGTTTAACAATGTTTAACAGGGGTCCGTTTTTTAAAAGGTACTCGGGATACTGTAATTGTTGTCTTCCCCTATGGCAGTGGCAGAATGCGAACGTCAACCTTTGTGCATCTGCCAGAATACGTGCGACAGTATGAGAAAACAGCGCTGGTGATTACCACCAATTTTTTTCCAATCACAAGCTGAGGCTTTCAAGGCAACCAAAAACTCTTAACACCGAGAGATAGAATAGAGTGCTCAAATGCAAAGTCATTCATTTGGCATCTGAAAAAGGAACCACTCTGGCTCAGCAAGGGCACAAACGTCATTGGACCGCAGAATGGAAGAGAACGCTCTGGTCAGAGTTGATTAGGACATTAGGACATTCCCTGCCTGTGTTACTTGTTTTTTTGGATTTAAGCCAGCGATGCCCCTCAAAACATCCCAAGCAAACATCGAATCTCGATTCGTCACACGCGTCTCCCCCCACACCACA